TTTTTTTGCTCAAGCCGCGTTGCAACTGATAGGTGGTGTGGGTGGGGGAGAGGAGCAGGGAGGAAAGCCTGCTCTGATACCAGTGTGACGGACCCGCCGAGATGGCGGTCCATCAAGATCAAGACAAAGGGATGAGGATGGGGGAGATGGAGATGGAGTTGGAAGGGACAGCGCAGCTCCAACGCAGACTCAACACGCACGTACTCCAATCTGTGCAAATGAAGAATGAGTTACAAAACAAACTACAGTTGGGGTATACCCCCAGCGGACGGACTGGACTGGACTGGACTGGCCTGGTACCGACAGTGGTACCGCGCAGGACTGGACTGGACTGAATAACCACACGGCCTGTGGGGTCAGGCCACGGCCTGGTCCCACAGGCCGAACTGGCAAATAGCCAAATAGGCCCTGGCTGTGGGCCAGGGCAGATGAAGGCCCGCTGCAGTGCTGGTAAGAGCAGACACCACTAGCACCTGAGGAGGCTCTGTCTATTGGTGGGGAGCAGCACCTGCTGGAAAACGGGTCCAGCGTCCCATATACAGAAGAAATTCGGAGTACGTCAGGAAAAAGGAGCGGGGAGCTCCTGCCATGGGGAACTCATACTACTGCTTCGCTAAATGAATCTGACTGCAACTACCGCCACACACAGATGAATCTGACTGCACTCACATCCAAAGCTTAGTAGAAAAAGTCATAGTGTGAGTATCCCTTCAATGTACCTGACAAAATGTCAGATGGATGAACCATTCACTCCTGCCCTCAGGCAGTAGTAACTGGTCCCGGTACCAGTACCAGGCCCTTTGGGGGCAAGAGTAACAGGGACCTTGCCCCCACAGTGTGGGGCAAGAGTTTCCAAGAAGCAATCTCCAGTAGAAACAGTCTTCTCCACTGTCAGATACAATGCAAGTGAAAACAAGGAAGAATCGAGAGAATTGTGAGTCCACTTCGACCTTCTCCTACCTTCTTCACACGAATAAAACACCCAGTCATTATCGCACGTTGCCCCAAATACAGCTATAATGACCGGGCGATCTATTCGGGTGAAGACCACACTTCTCTTCTCTGTTCATTGCTGATGAACCAATAAAACAATTGACGTGACAAAAAATCACTGTGCAATGTGCATGTCATCAAGCCCTGGTCAGCGAAGAACAAAGCAAAACGTCCATGCCAACATAGCCAGAAAAGAACAAAGTGAGTGCACGGCAAGGTCTCTTTTTTTTTTTTTTTATGTTCTTCTCTCAATTCCACCTCACACTACCTACCTACCACTACTCCTAATTGTAGGCATACAGGGAACCTCGTAGCGGCCAGAACCGTGTTCAAGAGAGAACATGCGGGGGCTGCTCCCGACCTGCAGGTGGGCGATACCGGCTAGGGGACAGCCGGTAGCATCAGGGACCATGCCAACAGGACCAATCCCTGTTCCTCCCCTCAGGTCCCCTCCCCTACAAACATCAGCAGACTCTGCCCAATACCGATCGTGGGATCCAGTGGTCTATCTCTAGGTGGCGGGCGCCAAGCATGCCCAGGAAGGTACATGGGGCCAATGGGGATTGAACCCACGACCTCCTGAATGCCACTTGCGTGCCTTACCAACTGAGTACATGGGGCCTTCGGGTTTATGGGCCCAAGGTCACTTACAATACTCCTTTCTTTTCCGGGGCGTGGGTGGGAGAGCAAGGGTTCAATCTGTTTGTGGCGAGCAGCACGTGCCGGGAAGCGGGCTCAGCGTCCCGTCTGACATTTGTACAAAACAGTTTGAGGTCTTGGGGCCTTTACCCGGCTTTGGCTGAGACAAACAGATCATGGAACAACAGCTAGAATATTTTTGAGGTAACTAAGACCATTCTGAAAACCACAGAAGTCCACAGAAACAATCACTTCCATCACTCCATACTGTGGCCAAACCAGACTGCACCATACACTCAAATACAACTTCAAAAAACTGTCTTGAGCTCATACGCACGACCACACGATGAATGTTTTCCAAGATTAGAATAGAAGCTTCGTACAAGCCTCTACGTTTGCACAAGATTCAATCACCTTCCATGACTCTTCTACACTCTTGCCAAACCTGACTGAACCCACACACTCAACTGCAACCTCCAATACCATGCTGAGGTCATACATGTTACCCCATGATGAACGCTGCCCAACATAGAAAATAAAAACACAAAAGATAGATGGAAAAAGCCTTCAGTACTTTGTGATACTAATTGAGTTTACAGTGTTTTACGCCCTCTGAGATACCAGATACACAATCCACAATCACCTAAGGGGCAACCTCTCCTGTATGGCTTCCACCTCAATCGCACAGGCCTGAGTCTTCCTTGTTGACCAGCACCTGCGCCTACCAGACGAAAGATTCCACGCGGATCTATCTTAATCCTGTTTGCTCCCCATGCTTTCTCATCTCAGCGTCAGTGGAAACCCCCGTCGCCCTAGACGTGGTGCAAGGGGGGCTGGGGGGCTGCATGAGGCCACACGCCTGTCTCCACCCGGGGCTCACATAGTGGCCGCAAAACCTTTACACGGTACCCAGACACACACTATGCCGGTCCCAAGGGGCAGGCTAGCGGGCATCAAGCAGGCCCTCCAGTCACCGGGCCACCCTCCTTGCTCTCACTCACAAATCCCACCGTCCAACACGTTTTTGGTGTTCCTTCTAATATCTATGAATTTTATCCCTACACTAGAAATTCCACTTTCCTCCATCTTACTCCAGCGAACCAGTTTTGACGATGTGCCGGAGTAGCGGGCCTTCCCGTTCGCCACTGCCATGTGGAACGCGGTTTCCAAATGAGTATTGGAAGCTGTATTATTTCTCTGCCCCACTGCTCCGGGGATGGGGCACAGATTTTCCGGGACCACTATGCTGAGAACTAGCCTACATTATGACCTGCCAGAAACACTACACGGGTCCAACTCCCGATAGAACAAACAACACAAAATCCTCCCAAGACACATGCTAAGAAGACACGGGTTCACAGGCCAGCCACAGACTGATAGGCACAGTAGACAGCTACTCCAGAGCCTTGTTTTCCCAATGCTGACTTCTGCCGCGCACCAAGTTTTGCCAAGCCCGAACGAGGCCGATGCAGAGGAAGATAAGGGTGGAGTTCCCTACCCGCCTCATTACAATTTCTTCATTCCAGACGGGAGCCGTGCGGAAGCACGTGAGCGTACGCTGTTTTTTATACTTCCTGCCTGCCATTGAAACTAAGTGGTAAGGTCCAAATCGGCGGATACTGACCGTATGGGAGTTGATTACCCATCTATTGATATTGATTGGGGGACAGGGGACTAAACAACAACTTACAACGTTAAAGCCTATAGGTGAGATGCACGCTTCATTTGAACTCCGAGAGTGTTTTTGTGTTGGGGTTTTATAGTGTTTTAACTTTTAACTTTAAAACTGTTTGTTTTTTTTTTTCTGGTCCGCTTTCTGTGGGCAGTTTGCATTTTTTATGTTTGCACTATGGCCCGTTATAGTTTCTTTTTGAAATTTTCGCTGAATTTTACACCGCAAATATCGGCGAAAACAGTGATTTTTTTTTTTTGCCCAATTTTGCACTGAAACTGTCATAGTGCCCTGATTTTTTGCTTTTTTTCTTGTTTTTCTTTTCGAGTGATATGTAGGTGCTTTAGGGACACGCAATTAACAGAGGGCCAAAAAATCGCTGTTTTCGCCAACAGTTTGAGTGCAAAATTCAGCAAATTTTTCAAAAAGAAACTATATGAGGCAGAATGTCCATCCTGGCCATTCTAAACGTCCGTCTGGTGTCCAATATCAGTCCTAGCCCTACAGTTCTACCTAATTTTTATCTATCCCTCCCAGGACAGGGAAAACACAACACGTTCACAGCATGGCAATCATTGCATAGGTATCCAAGATCAGTGCTCCGCTTGTAGCTCTCCTATAAACACAATTAGTTAACCCCATGGCAGCCATTGCATAGAGAATTGGACACACACAGGCAAACGCAATAACACTCAAAACACCGAAATCTCAGCAAATCAGGTAAACGGGCAGCAGTACTCAGAACACTGCGGAGATCTTGGACAGATTCTGTCCAGGTCATTGCACCTGGCTGGCGTCATAATGTTGGAGGTGGACGTGGAGGGGGTACTCTCTCTCTCTCTCTCTCTCTCTCTCTCTCTCTCTCTCTCTCTCTCTCTCTCTCTCTCTCTCTCNCCCCCCCCCACACACACACACACACACACAAACACACACACAGAAAGTTGTGTTTAATGGGTACGGAACAGACATACAGTGTGGCATACTGCGCAGCCACACGGGCCTGCAGGGCCCAACCAGCATTCTTAGCCTAAAAGCCTGACAACAAGGGCCTACAGGCCTTGTGTCGTTTCAGCCTAAAAGCCTGAAAACAAGGGCCTACAGGCCCTGTGTTGTTTCAGCCTAAAAGCCTGAAAACAAGGGCCTACAGGCCCTGTGTCGTTTCAGCCTAAAAAGCGCCCCCCAGGCCCTGAGTCTTTTCAGCCTGAAACGGAGGGCCATTTTCAGGCCCTCATAAGATCGACCTGCCCTGAAACTTAGGCACCAGACCAGGGTTTTAGCACAGGCCATTTTGGAACTGTTTTCAAGACAACCTTCGTTTGAACTTTAACGCCAGGGTCTGGCATGTTTTGGCATTGGCAAGAGCAGCCTCCTGGACGGGCCAGCACTATATAAGACCGGCCCGCCCTGCAGGCTGCAGGCAGTCACGAGGTAGTTCATAGGGACTTTCCAGGCACTTCACGTGCTGGAGGCAGGAGGCAGGATTCGGCAGCAGCACTCTGGAGGAGCGCTGCGGTAGTAGTAGTAGTGTTAGCAGTAGTCTTCAGTGCTGGGCGCTATTAGAAGCTAGAGTAGCGTTGGAGAGAGAGAGATGGTTGGCGGAGGCCAGGGAGACTTACCTGTGGCGCCATAGCTCCAGCTTCGTTTTCGATGTACCTGCAGCAAGGCGCCACCTTCACAGGTTAGTACCGGACTGAGAGAGAGAGAGAGAGAGTTCTTCTTCTTCCTCTTCTGAGTCCACCATCTCTCCCTCACCTTCTCGCTACCTAACTTCTCAGTATCTGCAGACTACGAGAGAGAGAGAGATTGGTGACTTTGGGACTTGACGACATTTGGATCCAGACTCCACGATTGAGACATTGGACGAGTGATTATTTGGGACCTGTACCGAAGACACGGTGTTGTCGACACTTCACTCACAAACTCAACCTTCTCCGGGAAAGGTCAAATGCGTATGTATTCCGTAATCTGGCGAAATTAATTCAATTCTAAAAATAAGTTCTGTATACGTGTGTCCTATGGGCGCTGAAGTGCTACCTATCTACTTCTCCGAACACAATATCCTGAGTACCTATGATAGTAACCACATCTGCGAGCATGTGATGTTTCGACATAAAATCAAGCCCTTGTAAATGAGCAAAACCAGGTGCTCAAATTTTACAACGAAAGTCTTAAATGTATTTTACATAAAGAAGAGTTATCCAATTTAGCTTTTAACAAGTCCACATGGAGTTGTGCATGAATCATCTCATATAGAACCTGAGCGGAATTCATTAATTGCGTCAGAATCACACATCACTAGACCCTATGTCTGATCTCCTAAACAACTAATATTAGAGTACGCTATGCCTATGGACTTGGCGTTGTCATTGACAGTAGATGACAAACAGAAAGAGCGGTATAAATCACAACCTTTAGTGTACATATACATTCCCATCTTCCCCTCTCCTTCGTCTAACCCCCCTCTTCTTTGTCTGTGTATAGTTGGGGCCTGGCACTCATGTGTGAGCGCCAGGCCCCTTCACACCATGGAATGATGATGATGTATGTTTGGTCTGCATTGCAACATTGATTGTTCGGATCATTGGTATATTAGCCTTCCATTGCGCTATCTTGTACTATGTGAGAGAGGTTGGTTCTTGTTCTGGTCTGCACCTTTACGGTATGCGACATACAGCCTTGCTTGCTGCAGCTAGGGTCGGGACTGTCTTTTCTGAATCCCAGTGGTCGTCTCTAGAGGGTATGTAGAGTGGATTTTCTGGCTGCGATGGACTGCTTCTCAGACATACCGCCATTCTTGTTATAGATTTGAACAAAACAAAAATATCCGCTAGCCTGTGCTAGGATTGCAGTGTCGGTGTGAGTAAATAAATCACACGTGCACACACACACACACACACACACACACACACACACACACACACGCACGCACGCACGCACGCACGCACGCACGCACACGCACACACACACACACGCACGCACGCACCCACACACACACACACACACACACATATTATGGACTATAATCTCTATACATATAAAAACTGCAGCGGGCCCGCCGTAACGCCAGCGGTCGGGCCCAGCAGAAACCGTGGGAGGAGGTGAGGCTGAACCGATGGGGCGCAGACCAGGAGTTGCTTAGTCGGAGCGGGACCGCGCGACGACGATGTTGCTGTGGGAGGGTGACCATGCAACATGAGAAAACAATCGCGCGACGGCAGCGAATCGTCTGTGCGCACGAGCAGAATCGCAAGTCCCGCGGTCCTGGCGGTCCCCATGCGACCTGACCGATGACACTATCCAACCGTCTGTTGGCCACACGCCCGAAATCTGGACATTTGTTCTCACCGTGCAGGCGGCACGCGGACCTTTGTGCGTTCGGGTTTATGTGCTGCGCTGCGTGTTTGTTCCCTTGCGCGTGCTATGTGGAGGATTCTGCGCACGTGCGAAAGTGTTGATGCGGCGCGAATGCGCTGCGCTGCGCGTTTTATCGCTTGCACGTGCTATTGTGGAGGTTTATGCGCGCGTGCGAAAGCGTTGATGCGGCGCCGCGTCCTACGATCTCGAAGCGGATCGACAGACCGCGTTCACGGGAACATGGAGTCAGTAGAGAGAGAGAAAGAGAGAGGGGGAGAGAGAGACAGAAAGAGAAAGAGAGAGAAAGAGAGAGAGAGAGGGGACAATTGGGTCATGGCACGTGCACAGTTCATCGACGTGAAGTTGAGAGAGAGAGAGAGAGAGAGAGAGAGAGAGAGAGAGAGAGAGAGAGAGAGAGAGAGAGAGAGAGAGGTGAGCACTCAGGTTGGACGACGTCGCCAGTTTCACCGGCCGTCAGCAGAAACGAACTCCACACGTGGAAAAAGGCAACGACGTCGGTGGGTTTACCGGTCAGGACCAGAAAGGAAATCAGCATCTGGAGAAGCGAAAGGAAAGGGCAGAAGCCGATTTCGGATATGGAGGAAAGAGGTATGTCCCACTGTTGTTGTTGTCTTCTTTTTTTTCTTCTCGACGGGGGGGCATCTTTTTTTCCTTCTTTATTTTTTTGGGGGGGAGCCATCGACTCTATATGTTCGAGAATTACGACTCTTTTGCACTTTTGGAATCGGGATCGTGACATTCGCATCTTGATGCCATCCCGAATACCATCAATAACCAATCGATCGATCAATCAATCAATCAATCAATCAATCATTCAATCAATCAATCAAACAATCGACGGCCGCAAGCCATCTTTTTTTTTTTTTTTTTTTTTGAAACTCTGCCGGTGCTACCGTTTTGCTATTTGCGCCACGAACCCGTGGGGCCCAATTGTGGTAGACCATCGATCACGAATGTCGATCGCAAACAAGGCCGCCGGCTTTCGCATTCGAACCATTGTTGTTATAGGTTTTTTTTTTTTAGGGTTTTTTTTTCTTTTTGCTCGCATATTGCAACACGGGTGTCACACCGCAGTCTGCCCAGGATGCATTTGACCGATAGATAAGGACTCATCACGTCGCCCAGAGTTAGCGATACCCTTTTGAGCGAGATAAGTGGTGGTGGTGGTGGTGGTGTTCGTGTGTGTGTGTGTGTGTGTGTGTGTGTGTGTGTGTGTGTGTGTGTGTGTGTGTGCGTGTGTGTGTGTG